ATATATATATATATATATATATAACATCATAACGTCCTTTAGTTAGACCTTTTTTAAAAAAATATATATATGTGCCCTAGAAAAACTCAAGGCCTAACCACCAAATTAGAGTCACAGAAAATACTGAAAAACATAATCACGTGCTTTATCTCTCGTTTACTGGCCCCCGGTGGCTCAGCGTTAAGTCTGGGGACTTATAACGCTAAAACTCTGGTTTTCATACTCGCTGTAAGTAAAGCACAAATAATCATTTGTTTAGGTTTCTTTTTAACAACTAGAAAACTCGTTCCCTATTTCCAGTGTTATGAGGGCTCAAAGTTTTTTTACAGAATCACTCTTTACAACAGACATTGCGCTTAAGTTTTGAGTGTATTATAATAGCTTATAATATTATTTCTGATATTTCGAGTCAAGTAGTTAGCGTGCTGGCCTGCGGATCCAGGAGTCCAAGCTTTTGAAATGGTGCCTCTGAATTAGTTCCACACTTTCAACTTTGCGCGCGTTATAAAAGCGACATTCAGGCTTGCTATTCGGTTCAAAGACCTTTACAAATCCCTTGAGGCTGCAGGTTCTTTTAACCAGGAATGGTTATATACCTGAATCCTAGGGTTCTGTGACCTAATTTTTTAGCCCTCGTACAATAGTCCCCCTGGACTGATCTGGAAAAAATCATTTTTTTTACAGAGAGGAGTTTCTTAGTTTATATAACATAAAAAGAACCTCCCTCTATTTCAAAGAAACTGAAACTGTTTTAAACACTATCAGACAACTTACCCCCCACAACTACAGAAATATCCTTTTTCAACAAGCCTTATATGTGGCACTTTATTAAATGCTTTCTAAAAAATCCAAATCCACACCTGTACCCTCATTTACGTAACCAGTAATGTTTTTAAAGAATATCAAAAAACTTTACACTAGTGGGGCAGGGAACCATAATAATATGACACCAAAGACAAGGTCAGAAATTCACTTGTGAAGTTTTTACTAATTTTAAGGTGGTAGAGAGCAGGACTACCACAACAAAATCCGGTATCCTTACTACAGTGCATGGTATTCTGCTATTACCTTTTTTTAAAAAGTTGAATACCATTACTGAATATTAATGATAAAAATGAACAATAAATTTACACAGTATTATAGTTCAGAGATAAACGTTTCACTGCGCATGTTCGTTGTCTATTATCACTTGCGGTATTAAACTGTGACACGATTTTAGTTAGTTGCTTATATATGTGTGTGTATGTTTGAGTTTATATTACTTGTAGATCTATTAAGTTCATAGCCATGTATGTAATACTTGGCCTACAGTGAACCCACACAACACACAGATTAGCAAAAAAATCAACCGAGCACCGCTCGGCTTAAAACTAATCTACCAGTAGTAATACTTGACTGCCAGATAATATTAATGGGGCTTAATATCGTTCAGTAACAAAAAGGAAAAACTTATTTTAATTTTCGAACATAGGCCTAGGACGGCCTGGTGGTTAGGGCACTCGACTCGCAATCTGCGGGTCGCGGGTTCGTATCCCCGTCGCCGAACATGCTCGCCCTTTCAGCCATGGGGTCGTTCTAACGTAATCTTCAATCCCACTATTCGTTGATAAAGAGTAGCGTAAGAGTGGCAAAATTAAATACGGCTAGTACAGATAGCCATCGAGTAACTTTGCGCGAAATTCCAAACAAACAAAATTTTCGAGCACACATAAAATGGCGACTGAAGCGTAGAGTACGCCACACACGTGAAATGCCATATGCAGCACTGACACTGTATAGTTGTGATCAGTGACCTACATCACATTTACAACTTAACATTTTGTTTTAATGCTGTGATTATTATCTTTAAATTTGTCCACCGCTGTGTTAATAAGTTTATGGAGTTACAACGCTAAAATCCTCGCGGTAGACAGAGTGCAGATAGCTCATTATGTAGCTTTGCACTGAGAAAAGAACAAGTGTGTTTTATAAATCTCTGATATGCAGATGTACAGGCCCTCTTGAGGACGATGATGTCATAAACTAAAAAGCCAAGAAGATAAAAATTAATGTTACTTTTCTTCGCAGTCACAGACAATGACTCACATAAAAAAATGAATATACAAGAAAGCTGGACTATTTATCTGTTTGAATAATGTAATCACAATTTTTATTGCTTATCCAAATTAGAAGCTTATTCAACTTTTGATTTTGTGTGTATATAGAAGTTTTTGGTTTCAGTTTTGTTTTAAATTAATTGTAGGATTTATTGCAACTGTTTTAAGAAAATATTGCGTTTGGTATTTGTTGTGATCCGATACCATATTTAGGTTTTTTTGTTTTTTTTTCACTGTTCCGATTGAATACATTCCTTTCTGATTATCGATTCATTAGTATAAGTTTGTTTAATTTGGTGTCTGTCTGCCTAATTTACTCACCTCGCCAGCAGTTTGATTGGTTCTTTTCTGCGTCTCCCCGTATTTATCAAACTATATTTTTATCATATAGTTATAGCTAATTGTCTATTTACCTACTGCTTGCCCCCCGGTGGCACAGCGGTATGTCTGCGGACTTACAACGCTTGATACCCGTGGTGAGAAGAGCACAGATTGCCCTTTGTGTAGTTTTGTACTTAACTACAAACAAACAAGCAAGCCTACTTCCTGGGCCTGGCGTGGCCAAAAGTTAGCGTACCTGGACTGTCATTCTTCGCGAATCGTTTTTGCAAACTCGCCTTCCGCATTTTGGAGCCGTGGGTGGGTGACCATCAAATCTCAATAAAATATTAGCCCAGGAGTTGGCGGTTGGTGATACTGGCTATTTGTCTTGCCTCTAGCCCTTTAATTCTAAATTAAGGACAGTTATGCGCGAAATTCTTAAGGAAACAAACATGTATGAATTTGCAGAGAAATAAAAGGAATTCATATGAATACTAATCCATAATTCCATAAAATTCGCAATCGTTATTCACACGACGAATATCGGTGAACCAATGACGAACGGAATTAAATATTTAAATAAGGTATGAAACAGAAACCAGAACTAAATAACTACTCTCAACTTCTTTCTCAATAGAAGACAATTTTATAAGTAAGATAAAAAACATACAGTGTTATACTAGATTAAAATAAGTATATTTTTCTTCAGACGTACAATCTTTAACATTTCACCACCATATCCTCACAGTTTTGATGGTAGATTCAAACATACTGTTGGCGTGAATGTGCTCTATCAACGTGTAATGTTTCACTACCATGTCTTGTTAGGGTTAATGATAGATTACATTCGTTTCTTGTGTAGAAATTGCTTATTTTCTATTTGCTATAACTGTTCGCTAGAGTTGATACTTCCTACTTCTCATTCTGCTCATTAGATGGAGCCATCGACTTTAACTCCAACAGATTGCTCTTACTTGCCAAATGAAACCACCAAATACCATTGTAATACAATATCCCATTATTTTGGTCATCGTGTAGCATCAATGTTCTTTACCATACTTATTTCTACTTTCTTTAATTATGTTCATAACGTTTATAATCTACAAATATATTAGTTGTTAAGTTAGTATTCTAAGTTGTTTAACAGTGCTTCATCAGATATACATGTTTCATGAAATAGGTGAGGAAGTAGATATAATGTTAACGTGGCATACTCTCAGGAATGAAAGCGTCCTTGGTGTGGTTTTAACTAAGTTAAAAAGTTCTGTATGAGTTTGTTTAAATGCTTGCACTTAAGGACTTAAGTTTAGTTATATTTATATTTAAATTGTAAGTCAAACCTTATACAAATTTTAAACATAAGTTAATATGAAAATTGACCCATCTTTAAACTTAAGAACTTAATCAACAAAAGATAATGTTTCAGTTTTACAAGTTGTGGTCTCTTGGTGGCGTAGCAGTAAGTCCGAGGGTTCATAGCGTTAAAAATCGGGTTTCAATACCCGCGGCGGACAGAGCAAAAACTCTTATAATGTATTTAAAAACTCTGACCAATCTTCTTCACAGTAGACACAGCAGTATCAAAATCACAAACTTTCTTCCAAATGTTTTAAGTAAAATATTATTTTATTGTCAATACAAAATATCTAGCACGTGTGAGGTTTTGTGTTAGTATACTCCCCTTGAAGTACCTACGTTTAGTGAGGAACCTAGTGAACTGGAGAATTAATTCAAAACACAATACCAGCAACTTTAACAGCAGGCGAGTTAATATTTCAATAATTACAACGTTTCGATCCATATCATCCAGTCTCAAGCCACTATGGGTCGAAACGTTGTAATTATTAAAATAAGAACTTGCTGGTATTGTATTTTGAATTAATTCTTCTTGTCATTACTTTACCCAACATGGGTAAGTATTCTTCAATCATGAAGGATAAGTAACAAAATGTCATTTGAAGAGTATATCTTCAGATACGGTCGGGTCGTGTGTAGTTAAATGTAATTGTTCACCTACGTTTGTTTTCTTTTTTAAGTTTAAGGATCAGATTCCTACTTTACAATCACTTTACGACATTAATAAAATTACTTGTCCTTGTTTTAGTTGAACGTTAAGGAGAGTAAACATAGTAGGTTTAAGAACTTACTGGATGCAGACAGTTTCATCCATTAAAGTTCCCAAATTTACTTGTGCTTACTGACAGCAAGGCTATATTGTTAACTTGAGTGACATAACATGCTAAGCTAAGATCCTATATTAAGTCAAGTGTACTTGAATATGCCGTAAGAGAATGTTACGCTATTGTTAAATAACTAATTAACTAACTTGGCAGGTATTTTGGTTTAATATCGAAAAAGACCCGAAGGGGCTTGAAAGACCACCAGGGGCGCTCGGGGCTTGTCCGTTTTAATTGGTTTAAGATCTTATATATAGTAAGGGCCAACGATGAACAGAACCTCCGGATAAAGAGGGTTTTGTCATTCACAAGCTGAGACCTGAGATTAATGTAGTTACAAAAATGTACATACGACTCCAAAGTGCGAAGAGCGATTTGGGGACGCGAACCATGGACCACCTGGAACGAGAACAGCGAAGGTATCTAACTAATAAATAAGTAGATTTTAAACATTATAATTTTTTGATTTTGACGTACATACTCCAAGTTAGACCGGCCTGGTACTAAGTTAGGTACATTATTTACTGGGTTATTTTTTAATTTCTGATCTATGTTGCATCCTTTGATTAGACAATTGTTATGGGCTTTTAGAGACACTTATAAAACACGATCAGTTATATGTTAATATGCACTCTTTTTGCATTGTTTAGTTTCTATTTACTCTGTCTGTGTGTTACTAATAATAACCACAACTCGGTTTCTTAATCTGATTCACACCTTAAGAGTTGTTGTACATTGTTATTATTGTTTTAAAAATATGGCTTATTAAATATAGCACCTGGACCACTTCTGTCTGTCGTATCCCTGCAGGCCCGATGAGTTTTAACATCTTCTTTGCTTTCCTTCGTGGGTTTTTAGAATTATATAAAATCCCAATTATATGAAATAAATAACTTTTTTTGTATTATTTAGGGTATTTATAGTATAATAAAACGTTTAAATCGGTATAATATTTTTTAATGTTTTTCGTGACTTTAAAGCTAAATATCTTATTTATTTTCGAGTGCTATTTAATATTTGTGGAAGAAATCTTTATTCTAGGAGTCGGTTTTACATTTGGTGTTTTTTTTTTCTTTTTTATCAGGTTTTTTAAAAAGGTGTAAACCCGCTATTTCTACTGATAAAAATGTCGTTTATTATTTGACTTTGATTTTATTGCTTATTTTATAAATGCTTAATATTTCGTAATATAATAAGATATTAACATCCTGGCTTAGATAAACATTATTAATAAAATTTGAAATATTTAAAGTTCAGAAGCAAGAAACGGGAGAATTGAGAATAGCTCCGCGAATATTTAACAAATAGGCTTAGTGCGATTGACTTACAGTTGTCAAAAACACTAGCCGAGTAGTAATATATTATATAGTACTACGACTACTAGTAGTAGAAAGCACACAGGTTCACCTACAAAAGTTCTAATATTTTCAAAACGAGACCCAAAACTCCAGCGCTTTCGAATATTCGAAAGCGCTCGAGTTTTGGGTCTCGTTTTGAAAATATAGTGCTAGTAGAAACAGTGTACAATATTCAGACATAGCATATACTATTATAAGCTTCTTTCTAAGATTCGTGCGAACCACTGAAGACTGAACATATTAACAAGTTGTATAATGGTCAAGTAACAATAGTTATTAACTTTGATTTATTTATGAATGGTTGTATTTATGATGTTAATGTTTGTAACTGTTACTTTAAGTATTACAATGACAAGAATTTAATGCTATCTTCATGGCCATTTCACTCTTAGAATAACATCCGTTTGAAATGCCAGTTGCTGTAAAGTAATTATTAGATTCATCACTACACACTTCTGGTTGAAAACATTGATTCGGTTATAAGTAAACAAGCATAATTTGTAATATAATGAAATGGCTCTGCTAACAATACAGTGAACTAACATTAAAAATACCCTTGCTCACACAAAATACATGAAACGTAACATTATAGTTCAAATAAAACATCAAATTTTATCTCCTTCTTAAACAATGGTTATCAAACTGCCATGAAAATAGCCACTGTGGATGAATGACGGACATATTTTATATAATGATAGTATACTTTAGTACTTGTACTCTCATGACATAACTTATCGACAACAGGGGACCATGTGGTCTTTCAAGACTCACCTTGCACACCCACCTTGAGAAAAGTAAAAATTTAAACCCACAATTAATTTTTTTATTTTCGTGTAAATCATTTATTTTCCCTTCTTTCACTGCTGCTGATGCAACTCATCCCATAAGTCAGTTACCATGTTAAATAAATAAAACCAAAGTCTACCCTGTCCTTTTCCAAATCCTAAACTTGTGTCCTATTGACTTCAGAATATAGATAACCTTCCAAACTTCACTTGTAACTCTACCCAAGAGACCTCAACGTGTCCCTGTAAGAAAACCCTTCTGTCTAGGGAATAATCCTAATAGTCCTTTTCTGATCCCTTTCCAATAAGTTAATATCCTATCTTTGAGTCCAAAACTCCATAATATTCCAAGTAAAGCCTAACTAGTTATCTGCATAGAGAAATAATGATCTTTTTTGACTTTTAATTAATATTAGATATAAATACACCCTAAGATTTTATTTACATAATGTATATTTTTATAAATCTTGGGAAATCAGAGAAAAACAACAACAACATAAAAGCATAGTACAAGTTTTTAACAACTACTGAAAAGATAGAAAAAAAAAGTCCATATTTTGATGTTTTAATAGAAAACTTTATCTTTTCCCAAAAAATAGGTTTTTCACCTGCTTTGGTTTGAAAATGTATACCAGTGCTTCAAGAATAAAATCCACATCTGTGTAGGTGATGTTAACCTAGTAGTGATCTAACATGGCCGTGTTTCAAAGTAGCTGGCTAGTTACAGTGGATCAGATCATTTGACAAAGAATCCTTTCTACTAAGTTCAGTATTTCAAGTATTTGAAAAAGTAAGTTGTATAAATAATTAATGTTTGTATTTTTTTAAATAATAGTTTCATCTGAATATAAAACAGTTTTATCCTTAACTAGAATGTAAAACTATTACATCTTCCAAAAGATGTGCTTTTTGTGTTTCCTATGTGTAACAGAATGTTTTGGCATAATGAAAGAAATGAGAGATTGACGTATAAATGAACGTGAAATACGATTAAACTTGACGAGCACACTAGCCTGTCTTAGAAAAACGTGTAGAGGACGACACTTTGGAAGTCTTCAGGTCAAAGTGTTGTAAGCTGTTGCAGGTCTTTTATAGTATCCTGGTGGATTTTGGAGGATGTGTTGTGATTGATTGTTTATCCCTGGTTCTGATTGGTGGAATGGCTGCATGTGACTTTAACCAAGGGTGGCCATAGGTTGCCCACCTGTTATCCCAAATTTCTGTTTAGTGAAGTTTTTATTCTATTGATGTAGAAAGATCCTTTACTTTTTCTTGTCTTCCAAAAGTTGTCTGTGTCAATGATTCTAATTTTATCCCAGTTTATTTTGTGTCTAGTTGACATGGTGTGCTTTGCAATGGCTGAATTTTGTTTTTTCATGAGTCTTATGTTGTCTTTTCGTTTCTCCAATGTATGTTTCATTGTAGGAACATGGAATTTCATAGCTTACATTTCTGTATTTTTCATAAATAGGTTTCTGTTTGGTTTTTCCCTAGAATAGATCTTATTGTCTTGTGTAAGATTTCCAAAAGTGTGTTGAAGTTTTTAGCTAGGTGTTTGAGTTTTTCACTGAATTTTTGCATGTATGGGGAAGTAAATTGTAGTAGTCGTGTTCTTCTTATCTTTTCATTCTGTTGAGGTCTTCTTCGGGAAGTTTTTGATGAAGGTAGAGGTGTGAACGTTCTGTTTAAAACACTCTATGATCTTTTTGTGTTCTCTTTTGATGGATATCTCATCACAAATGTTTTCTGCTCTCTTCTTCAAGCATTGTATCATACCATATTTTTCCGAGGTTGGATTATAGGATTGGAAGTATAGGTATTTGTCAGTGTGGGTGGATTTTCTGTATACAGTTGTGGTGATTTTGTTTCCTCCTTGTTTGCTGATGAGTATGTCAAGAAATGGTAGGCTGTTTTGTTCCTGTATTTCCTTAGTAAACTGGATTCTTCTGTCTGTAGAATTGAAATGTTCTGGAAAGGCTGGTAAATTTTCATGACTGGGCCAGATAACAAAGAATTCTATAATGGTTTCTAATAATTTGTCATAAATGTGTCTCACTACTTGTAATTCTGTGTATTACATTTTTTCTCACTTCTGTTGCATTATTGTCTTATAAACATATTCTTTAACTGCATTTAAAACTTTCTCATTGTGTAATATAATAGTTTATGTGAAGATACATCCAAGAGAAGAGTTAAAAACCTTGATTAAAAGATGTTGAAGATAAAAACTCAATTTTCTTATAGATTATGTTGTGATTTTTTTTTCCAGGGTTCTGGGTCAGTTGACTGTTTGTGTTACCTATTTCTACATTCCAGGGTTCTGGGTCAGTTGACTGTTTGTGTTACCTATTTCTACATTCCAGGGTTCTGAGTCAGTTGACTGCTTGTGTTACCTATTCCTACAAACTGGTCTTTTGTAAAGTCAGGTGAGATTTTGTTGGTTTTACTTTTCACTAGAGCTAGGCAATTAGTGGAATTTGATAACTTATTAATCATCACACTTATTAATTGATTACATTCAATTATTAGATTATTCTCACATGAAACTTAAATAGCTGGTACCATTGAAAAAAAGTAGTAACCAACAAAAATTATCATTTTATTAGTTGATCATTTTTTGTGAGTCAACCTTAAATTAATCGGTAATAATAATACAAGATCATAATGGCAATGCTTGTAATAATCAAGAACTAATCTGCAACATTTTCATTATTTTTGTGGCATTAATCAGTGGCTTCTGCTACTTTATCATGGTCAGCTGTAGTTTTATAAATAGACTGATTTGGGTATTGATTGAAAATTACATCTGGACCATCCATCTTTAAAAATACATGTTATAGATATGATGCCAAATATAGAATATTCTTATTTAATCTTTGTTCTAACAGCACACATTTCTGTGGGCAGTGTTGCTTGATGTTGCATCAAACCAAACTTCCTTTACACAGTCATTGGCTCCTTACCCTTCCAGCAAATGTTCCACAGCAGAAGCTAGTAATCAACTTTGGAACGCTTAGGAGTTGGTTTACTCCTGCTTCATACAGGATCACTGGCAGACTATCACTTAGTTAGATCATTAAGAAGCTTGCTATTCCAGTGAACTACAAGCAAGACAAGTTTCTCAAGTCGAGATCTTCGGATCGAGGAATGATTGATGACCAAGGCTGTGGCAGTGAGGATAAATGTTACCTTTCTATCACTCATCTTGGTTCTGTCCATATCTGTTGCTAAATTGGGAGTGATAATATTTCTTCTTGCTCTCTGTTTAGACCCAGAAGATGATGATTCTCCAACTTCTCCTTGTCATTGTTGTTGGTACTGTATCCACCCACCTCATCATCACTATTGCTGGATGATTACCAACAACTGACAGTTTTATTCAAGATCTGTTCTTCTTGCTCTGCACACCTTTTTCAATCCATGCCATTCAAGTTTCAACTATCTTGAGAAACCCTTAAATGTTATTCGATATGGATAAAATTGGATGTGAATCACTTATTTGTATATTGAAGCAAAATGAGGGAGTGAGAGTATCAAAACCTCAAAAATTAGGACCAACTTAATATTAAAGGATTGCTCTGTCTCGACTGTTTTAACGTGAACAGAACCAGAATAAACACATGTTGATAATTGATGCTGTTTTCCAAGTTAAGCTGTATAACCTGTAACAGTAAAGCACTAATGGTGTAGAGATAATAGTAAATGTATATTCTGAGAATATCTTTTTCTAAATAGTCATTTGGTTTTTAAATTAGATAAACATTAGGCCTTAATTCACTGTTTCAGACATTTTATCACGGTTATTTGTGATGCTTTTAAGATCTCAATTTTTTTATGTCTTTTGTAACACGATTTGCAGCAGTGTTTCTTAAGTGCCAGTTCATCATAACTACCGTGATTGTCTTTGGAATTCCACAAAAATAAACTAACAGAGTATTTATATGTAACTCGCAATGGTTTTTTGTTGTACTTACATTTTAATTGTTCACAACAGTTTTCCAAACCAGTCCATGGTATTAAAAAGGTTGAGAAACACTGTTCTACAAAACTTTACAGTTTAGTCTACAAACAGTATTTAAATATGTTTTTTTTTTTTATATACAATAAAAAATTATTAAGCTGAGAGTTCTTGTTGTTAAAATTGGACTTTTCTGATTTCAAGTAGAATTTTTGTAGAAATTTGAAAAGTTACTTTTTGCTCTATGAAACTTTACAACAGTAAATTTGGGTTGTTTTTCTATGCATTTTTTTCTGATTACAATAGAAACATTGAATATATGTAGTAAAGTTTTTTTCTACAACTGATGTGTATATAAAGAATAGAATTCTGTATTAGAATTTTGTGTGGCATGGTTTCTATAACATAAAGAAAAAATAAAATCTTTAGTATTGTTTTCAGTATACGTGTCCTACATAAACGATAAACTGGTTTTTGTATATGATGTCATACTTTTGTTTTTATGAATTATTTGAATGTTTCTCTGTACATTTAGTGAAGCATATGGTTTTAGGAAAGAGTGGATGAAGGAAGAAATAAAAGAACTTCAAAGTGGGACAGGTTTTGTATCTAATAACAGTCTCAGGAGATCAAAATTGACAGTGTATAATTACATGGTCCAGAAGTCCCAACTGAAAACACCTTGAACATCATGCCAGGTAAATGAAGTCTCCTCCACACAAGTTAAACTTGTCAGTAAAGTTCTTTTTTTAATGTCAAGATTGGACCAATTGGATGCCAGATTCAAGACTTATTCTTCTGTTGTTGAAGGATTCTGACAAAGCTGTATATCGGAGCTGAAACTGGTTTGTACTGGAAAGGATATTTTCTGTTTGTATTTCCCCAACAATTCTTATTATGAAAATAAATGCTTTTTGTTATTTCTATGCTACATTTAAATCCCTGTTATACAAGTTTCAAGTGTTGCATCTATGTCGATAAAGTTACTTGGGTTAATATAGATGAGCTAGGTTGTAATTTCTTTTAAATATCAAGCTGCTAACTACTTTTTGGATAAAATTTAGACACGTGAATACACAAATAGAGGGCTGGTGTGTACACAAAAATCTGTTGCCACAGACACTTGTAAAATTAACCAATGATGAGTTGTTTAGTATTTTATCCTGTTATTCAGACCATAAATTATTCTCTTGTTGACCATACACACACACTAATAACCTTGATACGGTAGCTAATGCCGAGTCATGACCCTATATTTTGAGAATGTACTAAAATTAATTGAAACTGTACAGTAAATAAAGCATTACATAAATAACAAGGTTTAATCTAGAAATGTTAAAACTGAAAAAATAATTTTTTTTATTAGGCATCATTGTAAGTAGCAGAAGTTAATGATAAATAACGTAAACACTGCATGTGGACAGTTAACTTGATTAAATTATTACCTATGAACATTAATTAATCAATTATTCCTCCAATCTAAGTAATTGAAATATTGCCATTATGATTTGTCACTATTTTCAGTTTAATTAACCAACTAATCAGAATCAGCATTTATGATTAATTGAATGTAACTGATCAGCAAGTTACAACTTTATGTATGATTTATTGTGTGTTCTGATTGATAGATGTCCCACAGATACAGGATTCCTGACACAACACGTACGTAAGGGGTAACCGTGATCTATTCGCGTAACTTAGATATCTAGGTAGGTGGTTAGTCATTTCTTTATCTTTAAACACCATGTTTAGACATAGCTTGTAAGAAAACTAACAGAAAATAACTTCTTGAATAATGAAAGTCACTTGCAAGTTTCCCATAAAAAGACAAAACTTTGTATTTTGATTAAACCTTGTCGTGTGTTATTTTTCAGGCTGGGAACTAGTAAACATTTTAACTAAATTTCATAACCTCCAATTTTTGTGATGGGTGTGGCTACTAAAATTTGTTACTATTCTAATGCAGATTTTTTATGTACGTGGTTTATTAAAATACATCTTATATGGTAGCCTACCCAACTTTTGGGGATTCATAATCATTCAAGCCATTCGTTGACCATACTGCCCTCTTTTGAGAAGACTACTTGAAGCATAGTAAATCTTTTCATTAGGTTAGACAGTATTATTGTCATAACACCAGTTTTTTGTTGGATAGTTGTCTCACTTGTACTAGATAATAGAAGTTGATGATTTGCATTAAGATAATTTTTGGTTTATATTTCTGGTCTTCATCTTCAGGAAGATGATACTCTACATATGGAATGCACAAAGCTAAACCCTGAGAGAATACATAGCCAGAAAGGTTTAAGAAGTTTTAAATGGTTTTGCTAGTTAGTTCATACGTGATCTACATAATACGTTTTTAAGTTGGCTTTTCAACAAAAATCATTCCATCACTCAGCTGCTATTCTACTAAATAACTGTACGTTACACTGAAGTCTACAGAACTAGTATCCCCAAATATTATCAAAGTTTGGTCATCGAGTGTTATTTAGATACCAGTGATTTGATGTTTTAGTACACCTTTATAAAGTTAGATATTTCAAGCCAGCACAAAAAACAAAGTTATAAAATACCAACATCTTTATTCAGCCCTCAGATGATAAGGATAGTCCACAAGACTTTTCTTTAAGACCTCTGCCTTGTGTCCTAGAATCATGCAACATGAATGATGACATCAGTGTTCAAAAGACAACCAAATGAAAACATTTGCATTGGTTTCATCTTATTATATCACTTTCAGCAATTAATGGGTTTTGAATTACATTATCTAACCTCTACTTTAAACTGTATTTGTGGGCTGACTTATCTTGATGTACAAAAAAATCAAATACCACATCAGAATTGTTTCTTTCCATTTTTTTTTTACGTTTTGTTAACAAATCCTAAAAACATTCTTAAGCATGTGTTATATCCATAATCATGTAACTTTAGAACACCACTAAGAACAACTTCTAGGATCATTTGCCAGCTCATCTCTTCACTATTAACTGCTACATCACAATTCTTTAAACGAGTGCCTGAGTCAAGAATGTTAGTACTGCTCTGGTACAAGTTTAATTTTACAACATTTGGATTCTGTTACAGAAGTTTCAAACTGGCATATTTAGAACAATCTGATGTTAAGTACAAAGTAACAAAAGAAGGCACTTCTAAACAAACAAGTAGCAGTCACTGACACCAGGAACTTTGACCTGTTTCAAAACAAACTCTACTAAAGAATCCAAGCTTTCATACTTTAGAGGTTCCCAAGAATCCAAATAATTTACAAATTAACTACTGTTGTAGTGGGTGTTTTATGGCAATAAGAAAATTTTATATTATTTTCCTACTCAAAATCACATTGTTTTCTTTCCTCCATTTTATCTTTTCTATAAAGCAGTAAATAAATTAAAATATTGAAACTATATACAATCACATATTCACCCCTCTCAATAACATGACAAAAATTCACTTATCATCTTTGTAAAACAGTAAACATTTGTCTGCAGCATTACTGCTAGAAATGGTATATGTTAAAATCCTTACCCAGGCACATCCCCTTCAGAGCCGTATCATGTCCACACATCTTTCAGAAAACTTTATCCAAACAGAAATTTATTTTTCTTATGCCATGACATCAGTAGAATTTCTCTGGTTAATAAGGGTTATAGCCAAAAAAAATGTATTGAGCTGTAATTCTTCCCATTTCTAATGGTAACTACCTTCAGCTATTGTGAGGTCATCTTAACAGTAGTGGTCAACGAGTTGGCTGAACAATCATCTTACACACTTCACCTAAAAGTTCCTTGATCTCGGAGGTCAAAAGATACTGCAAATCTGCCACAAAACCAGAGGAATGCTCCTTCCATCTTGGAATTTTTAAAAGTTCATCATATACCCTGTAATCCGTGAAACTTAACATAAATCATTTTATTTGTTTATTCGATGTACACACATAATCTGTAAGTGTCACTATTTATAGTTACAGTAATCTTTACAATGAAGATTCAATTTACCTACAAACTTAAAATATTTTAACACAAGGATTATTGACTTCTCTGGATGGATCAAATAAAAGTTTCAAATTGACTTTTATAAATTAATGTAGCCTGATTCTAAAGCTACTTAGTACACTGGATTTATCTTGAAGTAGAAACTGCTACTCAACTGTATGCCTAAGTATTCACTCAAAAGTGTACTCCATTAAATTAGGGATACAGGAACCATAACAAGATAACACAAGCAACAAACTTAGCTTTAGTGACAGTTATGGCTGCTTCTTCAGAGAAACGTTACCTAAAATACAGTTTATTGCATTAACTACAAAGTTACAATCGTGAGTGGAAGAGAAGACTTGAAACAAATCTTAAGATGATGACTACAATAGTTTTGCATACCCTCTGGCCAATTTAATAGCCATTATTAACAACATGTTTTATAGTTTTGCTCCAGTAAGCTCAATTAAACCACAGTCTAGGGTTTGTACTATTAGAACAAGTTTTTTGTTTTGTTACAGCAACAAACTCAAAGTTCTCTTGTGCTCAGACACGTGTAATGGAAATTAATTTAACATCTAGAACAAGCAACAAATTGTCAGACTGCTGGGTGAGATTAGGTCTAGTGATAAAAAAAATACACAGCCGTAAGTTAACAGATGCCGTTGTGCCGTATTTTGGAATACACGTATTTACACAGCCATAAGTTAACAGATGCTGTTGTGCCGTGTTTTGGAATACACGTACTTACACAGCCATAAGTTAACAGATGCCGTTTTGCCGTGTTTTGGAATACACGTATTTACACAGCCATAAGTTAACAGATGCCGTTGTGCCGTGTTTTGGAATACACGTATTTACACAGCCATAAGTTAACAGATGCCGTTGTGCCGTGTTTTGGAATACACGTATTTACACAGCCATAAGTTAACAGATGCCGTTGTGCCGTGTTTTGGAATACACGTATTTACACATCCATAAGTTAACAGATGCCGTTGTGCCGTGTTTTGGAATACACGTATTTACACAGCCATAAGTTAACAGATGCCGTGTTCTGCAGTATCTGTTCACACTGCAAGTTTCTTCCCACTAATCTTTTAATTCAAGATTCCCACAAACCTTGGAAATGAATGGAGTTGGAAATCATTTCTCATGTTATGGAATAAGAATACGGAATCGAAATACAGAATGGAACGTATTTTATAATCACAAGAAAACATCAGAAGATGTTCTCCACCTAATGAAGTTGTAACTTTAAGGGTAAGTTCATCCTGAAAATCCAAACAGTTTGGTGTGGGAATCCTGTAATTGTAAAACAGGAAAATGAACAAATAAAACCCTTCCAAAACATTATACTCCAAACTATTACTTAAGCAACTTGTTTAATAAGAAGATTACAAATTACTAGATTTTAGCCACACACAGATGTAGACGTGTGGTCACTGTGTCCTTTTGTCTTGTAACTGTGGTCGCTTGAAAAGAGTTACTGGAATCAGCATACAACAAACATTCACAAATATTAAGTGTGTTCAAATGAAATGGGTAATTAACGCACACACACACACACACACACACACCATGCAATTTTAAATTACAAGTGACTTGTACAGCTTTTTATGCAACTGAATTTATCTTAATATATCAACAAAACATCTGTTTTAACATGTTCACTAGATTCGAAAATTATGGTCTTTACTGCCCGATGACGAGCGTCTGCTCAAAACCTCACAAAAAATAAACTAGAAAAAAGTTTAGACTTATCAATTTATTCTTTACTATCTTTTATCAAAGTAGATACACATGGACATGTCAGTATGAATGTTGTTTTTGTAAATTAACTGTTCAACTGACAATAGTAAAAAAACAAGCTAAAAATAAAACAGTTTTGACTTGTTACTTTTAACAAAAATAAATTATATTTGATATATTTTTTAACTTCTTTTATACTTAAAGTGGAAAAAATTTAGTCATTGCACTACGAATTTTGATGTTTAAAAGAATTTTAAGATCCGTCATCAATCTGACTGGCAACAAAAACGGGGGCTGTACTCCTAATATCAAACCCCGCTTTTTTAACTGAAAGATACAATTTCAAGCTTTGTGCAAAAATAACTTACGCGGAAAACAGCATAAACAGCTGGCCCCAGAAATAAAGCAATTATTGGCAAAGGATTGTATGAACTAAGATAGTGTTATATCTGATACTGAGAGATTCCACATACTTATACAAAAATGTGACACAGCATTGTCACCGGCACTAATGATTCTTTATGTTGGTAACTTTACAACAGGGAATGAAATCCTACGAGTTATGTCTCTAAAGATACCTTTACAAGAACTGAAATTTCCCAAATTTGACTTTTGTTTAAAAAGTATATACATCTTAAAACACTGATGAAGAAACTAAATATAAAGAAATAATTCTAGAGTTCCAAGAAATTAAGTAACTGTCAATACAGACACTGAACTTAGACTCAAAGCTGTGTATTTAACACTAAGGTAGCAGGACAGTTTTTGTAGTGTTGCAGGCATACTTAAACTGTCATTCAGTGGCAGTTATCTGTTTAGACCATTGGCACTTGCAAGATATTTATTCTTGTGGAATTACATGCTTCAGGTTCTTATTTTAAACTACACAAATCTTATTTTTTTTCTCGCAATCTAGCCGAGCTATCAGAGAAACTGAAGTTTCATATTATGCTATAACACAACATTTGATAAAGCAATAGAGTTTTCAATAATATAATATAAAACCAGGATGACAGTATTTTAAACCTACATAAGATTGGACTAGTCAGTACATTACTCACCAAAGAAACTGCACTGGTTTCAAAATCTTGAGCAACTTTGTTGCTCTTAAATGAAACAAACTAAAATATTTACCATTTACAGAATTATATTCTGGAAATAATACACTTTTTTTACTGTTAATACAAAAGAAAAGCTACCTATAAATTTGTAACGGAGTCAGTCTCATAATTACAATTATGACTACAAGTGAACATCATGGTGGGAAAAAAACCTTAACTGGTCTGATCTTACACGGGTAAAGATGGAGGGTTATAACAACAGTAACTTGTATAAAGCTCTGGAATCATACAGTTGTAGAGGTTGACATCATATAAAACAAAGATATCACTTCAGCTGTTAGTAAAACATGTATTGATGATAACAGGTGTTTCTAAGGAAAACTACATTAATCCTGTTTTTACTTGTGTAAGCTAAAGCAACAAGGTTACCTGAAAAATCTGTTGTCACTCAAACCTTTGAGTTGTTAGTGATCATTATAAAGGGATAAAATGACAGGGCTTACTGGCTTAAACAGGCAACTCTTAACACTGTTTATTATATTCATTTCAGAAAGATTTCTTCACATCACTTGGATGTTATCACTTTTAACAAAAACTGACAGTTTAGACTAGTCTGTTTACTCACTACATTAACAACGTTTTCTTTCTCCTCTGCTTTAGAACTAAGTACAGTACAATGTCCGCCAACAAATCAATACAGCAAAGATTTGTATAATAGTTTCATTTTTTTTGTCCATGGTGACTATATAAACATGATATTTTGAAACACTGAATTGTTGGATCTTTTTCTGTTCATATACACAAACATACAGGCACAGGTGTCAATCTTGGTTAAAGTTATAGCAACACTCGCAAGCATCGCGGACAGAAAATCGTGTGTTTGGAGAAGCAAACAAATCCACCGTTTGTGTCTGGTCTACACGAAAGCTGCTGTAGCAACGAGGAAAAACCAACAACAAAATGTGAGGCACTAAGAAGGGGATAACCTTCTGCATTCCAACTCTAGGCTCGCTCACGTAACACCGGCAAGTCCCAGTTGAAATTTTTATCACAAGGCTGCTGCAGGCAAGTGAAAGACTTTCATCACCAGAGATAAGTAGGTGATCAAACACCACTCTCAGACTGCCCAGAGAATCTACAAAGGTCATGATTTTGAATGATGTCACTATATCTGGGTGGAGAGTCAACTGCTTCAAAGGTCATCTGCCTTTGACATTCTGCCTCACCTGTAGAACTGGCTCTACGACTTGTTGTTTTTCCACACGTAGGTACTGGTATCCTAAAGTATGACGGGAATACCTGAGATAGGGCACCACCCTGGTGGTGATTTCCACCACCGACACTCTGACGGGGTATGACTAGGGGATTTCTATCTATAGTTCGCAAGACACTAGCAGGTGCACAGGGTTTAGAGGAGAAACACGCGGGTTTAGAGTGATACGTTTCGAGACCATCCCCTTGGAGCACTGTTCTGTTTGGAGGAGGGCGTATACAGCCTCTATATATCTCGCTTTCTTGCTGAGGGTTCCGCAAGCGAAGTAACTTTGAGCTACCGTATGGGTGTTCCTCACCATCGGGCAAGGTTACAGATGCTGGAAGATCGAGTGCCAGGTCTGTCTGAACTGACTGCTGTCTAATCTGTCTTTCCTGTTGGGCTGCCAACTCTAATCGTTTCTTATCTTGTAGACCCTGCTGCCTAAAGAGCACCTAAACATCAAAATCAATTACATTTAGAACAAAAATTAATTGTGGACGTTCAAATAGAAATATATTGTTATTTAACAAAAGTTGTGTGGACATCATAACCCACATACATATTTCTATGCCACTTGAATAATTGAAGTATTACTGTATTTACCCCAATACTTCCATGAGAATTGAGCCCCAAGCTACCAGTAAAACTTAAACTAATAATCATCATTTGAGTAACAGTCATACTGATAAAATGAACAATACCAACTACACTACTCGTATCCATACCCACATAAGAACAGAACCTGTTAAATTATTTACTTATTAATTTGTTTTACAATAAATCTACTTATATGACAAACTCAAATGTTATTTTAATGTGCTGTCCCCCCCGCTGACAGACAAACATGTTTACTGTTAAAAAAAAATGTTGAAATTTAAGAAAAGTTTCTTTCACAAGTCTTGCAAAAACATTATTCATTACATTAAAAATACTGCAAAAATGACTTACCGAATGATGTGGTGCTGGTAGGTACAACTGGTGACGATGATGTTGGGGTTGTGGTACCTGGAGAAATGTTTGGGGAGGCGGCCGCCCCCTTCCTTCACTCCACGACCGCGCTCCCATTTTATGATGACTAATGACGCAGGTGAGAAGACCCAGCTTTAACACTACAGCTATGACAATGACAATAACCTGAATAGTGGAAACTGGAAGAGAAAAAAATAAATAGAACTTATCACTATCAAGCAGCGAGTAATTAATTGCCTGGAGAATGTAATATTACATTGAACTATGTTTCTTCTGCCGAGTGCCCCTTACCACAGATAGCAGAGTGTCTGTTAAACTTATCAACCATCCCTACATAACATGAATATATATGAAGCTAGCCGATGCAGTCACAACATTCATAACTATTGTTCACTACACTGCACAGAGTCCAAGGCCAGATAAAACCACAGCTCACAATACCAGTACACTTAGAATACAGAGATAATCCCCTTTTGTGAAAGTCTACAATAAGCGTCTATCTTAATTTTTCTGTTAAGATTCTTACATGTATAAAATTACAGCTATCTCCAAGAATTTCGTCGTATAACAGATGTATTAAATCACTAATCCACATATGGTGTCTAAAATGTTATAAAAAAATGTTCCCCCCCCTAACCAGGTCACTTTTTACACTAATTACTCATTACATACTGCCATCTATCAGAACAATAATATATAACCAGCATACACGAACAGTCCAATAACAACAATGTATAACCAGCATACACGAACAGTCCCATAACAACAGTGTATAACCAGCATACACGAACAGTCCCATAACAACAGTGTATAACCAGCATACACGAACAGTCCCATAACAACAGTGTATAACCAGCATACATAAACAGTCCC